CCTGTCAATGCTTAAATGAGGTCTAAAAGAAAGATGGGGACAGAGTTTTTAGCAGGGCCTGTTGTGGCAGGACAAGGGGGGATGGTTTGAAACTAAGAGAGGGAGATTTGGACTAGAGGAAAGGAAGAAACTGTTGCTGCTGAGGGTGGTGAGCCCCTGGCCCAGGCTGCCCAGAGAGGTGGTCGCTGCCCCATCCCTGGAACCATCCCAGGGGAGGTTGGCCGGGGCTCTGAGCACCCTGCTCTAGCTGGGGATGTCCCTGCTCAGGGCAGGGGGTTGGACTGGGTGAGGTTTCAACATCCCTTTCAACCAAACCCCTCTGATGATTTGGTTACCCTGGGTCTTTTCCTAGGAAAGCAGGAAGTTGTTCACCCTTCAGGGTGGATTTGGCCCCGGGGAAATTCCTGGAAGTGGGCTCTTGTTCTGCTTTTGTGAATCCAGCTAAGCCTGGGGCAGGTCAGCTGAGGAAGGAACTCAGATTTTAACACCTTCCCCCTGCCAGCTACATCAGCCAGGCTGAGATCACCACTCAGCCTCCATAAGCTCAGAGGAAAGGTGGGAGGGAACACTGGGGAGGATCTGGAGGTTACCACAGGAGTGAAGGTACATCCTTCAACCAGGATGCTTTAGACCAGAAGTTCAAAACATCTGTGGTTGAGTCACCAAGAAACAGAGCAGGTTCCTTCACTTACTGTGTGTTAACTGTACACAGGAGGAATTTGTGCCAGGCAGGGAGAGCTGCAGGCTGTGCAGGCACTGCCCTGTGCTGACACAGACCATTCCCTTCTCCTGCATGCTTCCAGGAGCCCCTGACTTCCCATCCTGCCTGTACCTTCCCCACCACCACAGTGGCTGAGACCTCCCAACTTCAATCTCTATCATCTTGATGCAGAACAGCCCAAGAAAGCTGCAGAACTGGATGGGTGGGGGGGCAAGGAGAGCCTCAAACCCCCCAAAAACTAAGCTGACAAGTAGGAGGAGTGAAACAGATTAAGATTTACTTGGCTCAGCTTAAAGATCTGCTGGCATGATGCTGTGAAGTGCTGGAGACAGCCAACAACTGAAACCCAATCTGAGAATTTTGTTGAAAATTCAACTGGTTCAGAGAAAGCTTTGGGGGGTTATGAATTTTTTTTTTTGAGCATTCCAACCTCTTAGCCACAACCTCAGGAAAATCCTTGATGCTGGTAGGACACTACAGAGCTGTCTGGTTACTGGAACATATTTCCACCAGTGTCCCAGGCTGAATTTCCAGGATTCATCACAACCACAATTCACAGCACAGAGGAAGGGAAATAAGTGAAATACTTACAGCTCTGGCAACTTCCCCAAAGTCTATCTTTAGCCTCCCCATGGCTCTTATGATTGCAATGATGGACTGGATGGTGTTGCTGTAGACAACCACTTTATACTGTTTGCATTCCTCCTCTGAGTAGCCATCCTCATGAATTATCCTGGAAGAGAACCAAGCCATCATTCCCCAGCCCAGCCAGGGGAGCACCAGGGATTTCTTACTCCAGCTCTCACAAAACCCTGGTGGACACTTCTGTGCTCTCACTTACTTCATCTGCTTCACAATGGTGCTTTTCCCAGACTCGCCAGCACCTGAAAAACACCAAAAAAAAAGGAGAAAATTCCAGTTAGCAACTAGATAAAATCAGGAAGAAAAGCAGAACGTCCTCTTCTTGGTCTCAGAGATAAGTTGATGGGTTCTTGAGCACTGCTGGTGATAGCAGAGCTCCGTGGCTGCTGTCCCAGCCCCTTGGGAGGGTTTTTTGAGGAGCACATCCCTCCATGGCTTTATTTAGAGATGCTGACAGCCACATTCAGCTGCAAAAATAATCCCCCAAACCCTAAAACTTCTGCATTTCTAGAGTACAGCTCTTGCTCATCAAAGTTAGGGCTGGAAAAGCAGGATGAGGATTTATCTACCAGCCTCTCTAACACCATCCTGCAGCTCAGTAACTACAGTCTGAGGCAGCCCTACAGCCAAGGGCATCAACACCATCACTGGGCTGCATCAGATAAAAGCTCTTCAATACCCAAGAGGATGGAGTCACAGATCCTGGAGCATTTCTACAAGGGACATTAATTCAGAAGCAACCTCGTGGGACACAGTAGAAAGGAAGCAGACCCAGCACAGTGCTCAAAGTGTTCTTGCAGATGCAGGTGAAGCAGCTGGAGACAAAAGCCCAGAAATGTGTTACTAGGTCAGAGCAGAAACACCAAACTGGGTCCCTACAAGTCTCCTTGTCCACCAGGCACAAAGTCAGCCCAGTGTTGCCCATCAGCACTCACACGAGGGTGGTTGTTCTCCAGTGGGAAGCCCAAGTGCTCTCCCACAGCCCACTCCAGGGCTGTTCCACTCAGGGCACATTTTCACTCAGGGACAAGCTCTGCTCTCTGTCATTTCCCACCATGCCAGGATCATAGTTCCACAAAATTGAGGGTGAAGAGACCTCTGTGTTCAGCTCAGAAAGAGCCTTTGCCACAGGGGGAGTTCCAGCTGAGGTGTCTGACCTGCAGGCTCTAGCCCTTGGGTTTCTCTGCATGGCTCCCAAGCCCTCCTCCAAGGAAAGGCAGAGACCTGGCTGGTCAAACCTCCACAGACCTGGGGCATCTCTGGGACAAGGAAAGGCTGAGACAGGACAAGGGGCAACGGGCACCAACTGGAACCCAGGAGGTGCCACCTGAGCAGGAGGAGAAACTTCTTTGGGGTGAGGGTGCAGAGCCTGGAGCAGCTGCCCAGAGAGGCTGTGGAGTCTCCTGCTCTGGAGAGATCCCAAACCTGCCTGGCTGTGACCCTGGGCACCCTGCTGTGGGGGAGCTGCTGGAGCAGGGGGGTGGATGGGATGATCTCCAGAGGTCCCTTCCCACCCCACCAGGCTGGATTCAGTGAAAGGCACACACAGCATTGCAGTGTGTCAGCAGCTCCTGCATTACTCTGCCTTGTGTGACCACAACACCAGAGGCTCACTTCAGACCAGCTGGACCAGCTCCAGGGCTCCTCAGCCTACAAGTCTCACTCTGAGCTGCAGAACTGGGTTTGCTGAAGGCAAAGGAATGAAGTTGAGCCTGCCTGGATTTGGATGCGTGACTCCACAGATCCTGGATGGGCTAAGGGATCCAAGCTCCCATTTGCTTCCAGCAGTGAGGCACCAAATCATAGAATCCCAGAATGGTTGGGTGGGAAGGGACCTTCAAAACTCAGCCAGTCCAACCCCTTGCCCTGAGCAGGGACATCCCCAGCTAGAGCAGGGTGCTCAGAGCCCCGGCCAACCTCCCCTGGGATGGTTCCAGGGGTGGGGCAGCGACCACCTCTCTGGGCAGCCTGGGCCAGGGGCTCACCACCCTCAGCAGCAACAATTTCTTCCTTCTCTCCAGTCTAAATCTCCCTCTTTGAGTTCCAAACCATCCCCCCTTGTCCTGTCCCACCAGTCCCTGCTCAAACATCCCTCCCCAGGTTTCTGGCAGGCCCCTGGCAGTCCTGGCAGCCCCCAGCAGGTCTCCCCAGCTGGAGCCTTCTCCTCTCAGCTGCCCCAGCCCAACTCTCTCCTGCTGGGCTCCCAGCAGAGGGGTTCCCCCCTCGGGGCATTGCTGGGGCTCCTCTGGCCCCGCTCCAGCAGGTCCCTGGCTCTGTCCCAGCCTCAGTCCCTGTGACACAGCAGCAGGCTGACCCAGTGAGCAAGGCAAGCTTTGCTGGCAGAGGAAAATCACTTTTAGATTGTGAGACCAACAGGGGAAAAAAAAACCCACCAGCTTTCAGGAATGTCAGAACTGGGCTGTGACACTTCTCCACCAAAACCAGAAGAGCTTTCTGGTGCTACCTTTGGGCAGCACAGCTTCCAGGAAAGAGCTTCTCAGGCCTCCCCCAACATCCAGAGAGGACCCCACCACATTCCAGGGTCATTCTCACATCCCTGCAGCCACAGGAGACCAGCACCCAGGAACAGAACCAAGACATGAAGAGATAAGAGGTGGATTTGCAGGGTTTGTGTTTGGGACACGTAGAAATTATTCCCTCACTTGGAATTTTGTACAACTTTCACCCCAATATCACCTGTAAAAACCTTTTGAGTGGAAAGAGAACTTGAAGTCCTGGCAGGAAGATGAAGTTTGCTCCTGGGAAGCAACCCAAGCCCTGACCCAATCAGGACCAAACCAGGACAATGCAGCTGGTCCCACCACCCCCTTGTGTCTCCACTGCCACCTTCACCTCACTCACCTCCCAGACAGGGACTCCTGAGGATCCACCAATGGACTAAAACTACAACAGAAGGTTTCCCCAACGTCAGACAAGGTCATTTTTGAGTTGAAAATGTATTTCCTGTTAGAGAGGTGTTGGAGCAGGCCACGCAGGGAGGTGGTGGAGTCACCATCCCTGGAGATACTCAAAAACGTGCAGATGTGGCACTTGGGGACACAGTTTGGTGGCCATGGGAGTGTTGGGTTGATGGTTGGACCTGATCTTGGAGGTCTTTTCCAACTTTTAATGATCCTACGATTCCTATTTGCACTTAGAGAGCTTCCAACAAAACTAGTGGCCAAATATTTTTAGAGAGCAGATGCAAATCAGTCTCTTCACACAGCAAGAGCTTTCCCAGCAGTACAAGCCCATCCACAGCAAGTTCTCAGGCTGCCAAATGGGGCCAAACCCAAGTCAAACGGTGCCTTAAACTCACTCCACCCATTTGCAGGTGTCACAGGCTTGTCACATCGTGGGGTGGGAGGGGAGGGACAATGATTTCTACTTCTTAGGATCTGTTTTGCCCAAGGAAATAGAGAGGCAAGAAGAGAAACATGCTGGTCTTCAACCAGGGAGCACCCAGCACCTCTCCTGCACAGCTCAGGAGGGGCAGGATACACACCTACAAGCTCCAACACCTTTTAAAGGCTGATTTATCAGATCCACCTTGACTTTATCTGTCTCTACAGCCCCCTCGAGGGACCCAGCACAGCAGGAAAACTCTTTCCAAACCAGGCCATGCAGTGCCTTTTAAATCAATCAGCCCTTGTTGAGGTTGAGGGGTTACCAGATTAGAGCCTCTCATGACAAAATCCTTCCAGGCTGCCAAGTGAAATGTCTGCAAACCAAAGGATTTCCACTTTTAAATTATTCCTAAGCATGAGGCAAATTCAATATTTATGGGTTTTTTTTCCCCTCAAGCCTTAAAGGAACCTTCTTGCTGGTTCAGCCTCAAGTAGAGCAGACAACAAGCTACATTCCACCTTCAAAGCCACTCAAGAAGCACTGACAGGGATGAAAAATGAAGCACATTTTAAGCAGAATGCCCTAAAATCTGCTTAGATGTTGGAGTTAACACCTCCCAGCCATGCAGCTCCCAGGGTCTGAAGCACACCACGGGCAGACTGTCTGAAACCAGCAGCTTGCAGCAAACATCCTTCCCTTCAGCAGGCTGGGTTTCTTTTCTTGTCACCTCTGCTCCCAGCTGCCAAGATGCCTTCACCCCTCCTCGGGCTGCTTTGAACAGAGGGGGCATCCAGAAGGGTTTGGGAATATCTGTGTGCTCCTGCTACAGCTTCTCAGGCACTCAGCAGCTGTGGTCAGAGGGGAAAGCAGCTCTGGAGACTCAGCTCCTCCACCCCAGGAGGAAGATAACAAACCCTCAGGTTTATTTTCACCACCATCCTCCACGTTCCTGATGCCAAGGTGCTGTGACTGGGAAGCTTCAGCAGCCTGGAAGAGCCCAGAGTCCCGTCAGGGGGGATTTAGAAGAGACTTTTGAACAGATCCTCTTTGGTTTTTAGTTCTCCTCCTCCTATTTGCTGTCATTTCCTCCTTAGATTATCTTCAAATCATCTGCTGCTGCTGCAGCAGGGAGTGCAGAGCTGGCACTGCCTGTCATTTGACTGCCAAAACACCATCAGATGCAATTAGGCCCTGACAACATCTCCATGCTGATTATACAACAGGAATTCTGTGAACTCCTTCCCTCCTCCTTCCCCACACGCTTCAGTGGGGTTTGGAACCACCACACTGCCTGTTCTCAGAGGTTATTCCCCCTGGTTCTTCTCGGGGTGGCAAAAAGTGACCCACACCCCCAAAATTCTCTCCTTACCAACACACAAGCCAGAGCCAGGTCCCCCAACACGCAGGGGTGGCAGCCAGAGCTCCAAGGGCACAGCCAAGTCACCCCTTCTGGGGTGTTATTCCTACAGGAGTTTTTCTGGATGTCCAGGTCCTCTCCCAGACTCACTCTCTGCTCCTGGGAGAATCCTTCAGACAAGGCACCTCATTAAACACTCATTTAGAAACGTCTGCCCTCCAGCTCCAGAATCATTCCCTGGGAGCTCCTGCTGGGGGGGCAGCTGCTTGGTGAGGAGATGGCTCATGCCAGGCACGGCCTCAGCTCAATCCCTCAGCCAAAACACCCACCAGCATCAACACAGCCCTGGTCTACACTGAGACACCTGAGCTACATCCTCCTACACAGCATTAAAACACAGCTTTCTAAAAATCCCCCACCCGTGTGGGCAGAAGGGATCCTGCCCCTCTGTGAGACCCCCCTGCAGTGCTGGGGCAGCTCTGGAGCCCTCACAACAG